GTATTTGAAGTGGGTACTGCTGTGACTTCCATTTGAGAACAGATTTACGTCAGCAGGCCTCCTCCATAGACGATCGGCAATGCACCCTGAGGTTAAATTGTGCGGCTGTTTACGCCAGACATATCTGCCAGTACTGAGAACCGTTATTGCTACCCGCATTTAAAATTACTGCAATGCGTGTGTGGGGGTATCTAGGAAATAAAGCGGAATTCTTTATAAACGTTATCGTTATTTTGGTAATTTTAGTTTGCCAAGGCTCCGCCATTCATAATGTTTCTCTCAGTCGCGGTCGTTTGGCTGTGGGCTTCGTCCTCAATCGTCGAAGGTTGGTACATTTTCGTTTTTCTCAGGCCTTTTCCTCTACCATCCTCTTACTCTTGTAATTTTTCTGCTCATTACACCATCCTTCCTTTGACATCTCAGTCTCCCTGTTGGCGTCGCGTTCGTTGGGAGTCCAATGTGCCTGTCGCTACCTTTCGGGTCGGCGTAAATACCTCCGGCTAATTACGCCCGAAGAAATACGAGGCATTCATCTGGTTGATCGCGTGACCAACATGAGCGTTCGAACCTTCCTTGCCCTTGAGATTCGAAACCCTGACTCGGCCTCTCTGCCCGAAAAGAAGGAGGAGCAATTCTCCAACTCCGTGCTCAATTCTGCTTTCTCATTGCGACCGCTGTTCCAATTGGACAGTCACCCCGATGCTCCAATCTGTTGTCTGTCCTTAGATTGCCTGGCGACCGTTTACCGTCTTACCTTTGCAGTGCTCTTTGATGGAGATTCCCACGTCTTTCGCAGTTCAGCTCAAACAGCGCCATTTAACTCCAAAGTTTCTCCCCTTTAGGGTTATTTTGTTACTGTGTTCTTTACAGTAAAAATATATATAATCTGTATGCCTTTCCTTCACACAAGGGGAAACTCCTCCGCCTGACGTCTTTTTGAACAGAAGCAAGCCTACTACTTTCATTTTAGTAGTAATTAAATTTTAATACAGGAAAGCAGTTCTCTGCTTGTTGCCAGGACGTGGAGTGCGCTCAAGTTAAGAAGGGTCTACCCGTTAGCCTAACCGTTGGCGTTCACTGGTTGGGAATGGTAGGATGGCTTTCAGTTCAAAGTAGCTGCAAAATGGACGGCCTCAGACGTCTGACACACAAACAATCAGTGGCAACAGAAAGGGTCTGGTGAATCAGCCATTACAGAAACCACTTCATATGCCAATGGGGGCACTGTCACATTCTAAGGATAGACCCTGACGTAGTGAATTCCTTTTCCACCGTAGTCAGGTCTAATCAGTAAGTTGTTGTTATTGGGCATTTGGGTGCTCGTAATCGCAAGAGGCGTCCGCCGGTTTTTGGTATTTATAATACGGTTATCGACTAAGTCGACTTCAATATTTCTTTCCCATTAAAATGACCCCTGCAATTGTGTACATGCTAGTCAAGTAGCAGCAGAAGCTGCATGCTACTGATTCCCACTAGCTGGCGATAAGAGGCAGTGTTCATCCAGGAGACAGCTCAGACCAACCCGTCGAAACCCTCTTTAACAACTGACAGGGTTAGCCCAAGGATTGTTAATCTACGACCACTGTGGTGGACGTGTGACGTAAAATCGACAGAATTGCCTGACCGTCGTCGTAGTTCAGGTAGATACAATCGACAGTTACTAGACAAATATTATTGCCAGCGAAGACAAGTGAGACCTAAATGGCCGTTTCCGGCTTATTTGCCATCGTCAGCCAGTCATACCCAATCCCATGTGATGCACTGCCCCAACACTTGAACTCGGAATCTAACCACTCAGCTATGAGCTCGATGTCTTGCCGGTTTAGGTCTGGAGATATTGAAACTCGTTGAGGAATGTTCACCGCGCGCTAACGGAACCCAGTTGACCCGCTCGTAAAGTTATATTGTTGATGGCGAAAAGGGATGTGTGATTGTCTTTGAATAGAAAATATGCAGCTTGTAAACCGCAAATCCTACGTGCAACTGCAATGGTATGTCGAGCTCAGTGATTTTACTCCCTGAAACTTTTGAAGAAAACTTGAGTTCCAACCAGGATGATGCACAACCTGGAGTTAGTGTCGAAGTTGTTAGTTTTGACAAAGCAGAGGTTTCCCAAATCAAAAGTCAGTGAAGACAGAGTAGACTAAAACGCCTTTACAGCGAGAAACTGCACTCTACACGTGTTGTGTCACGAGCCAGCTGTCAGCTGTGTCCGCACGCCAGGTGTTTCCGTGAAGTTGTGTTGTTGCGAATCTTTGTCTGCGCGTTTTTATGCTCTCTCGTTTGCACAACCAACCAGGTTAAGCAGGTCGTATCGATTGGATTCGAGCGTATGCGCATTTGAAGCAGCGAGTCAATCGATAGTGGGGCTTCAGACCCTGGATGGTGCACAATCTGGAGTTGGGTATGACTGGCTGATGACGGCCAGTCAGCCAAAAATGGCCACATTCTAGCCTTCCTCGTCTTTGTCGGTAATTTATTATTGCCCTTAATATGCTACTG